AAAAATTGTTCAAAAATCCCTCTGTTTAAGGCATGACTTAAAGTTAAACTGCCTTATGCAGTCATTATTTATTATAAATTTTTAAAACATAAATTTTCATTTTATAATCTTTATTTAACTCCATTTTTTAAATATATTTTCCTTATAATTTTTTTTATTTCTGTTATAAATTTATTTTTAATTTAAAAACTTTGCCCAATTTTAGCATCATTTAAATTGTATTTAAAAATTATTTTATTTTTTTTTGACATATTTGTTGAAAAGTAAAAATTTAATAAAAAAAACAACTACAACAATATTCTGTCAACTAACACACATGGGTAAGATATGGAATTTAAAAACCCTTCAAGAGTGGAGAAAGGTCTTTAGCAAACAAATAAGTTTGTCATACTGTTTGGCAGGGTTAAAAACAAGTTTGATGAACATGGACTAGTCGACAGTCCGGAATATAGTCGGGCCTATAGTATGCACTATAGGTCAGAATATGAACCATAGTCTAATCTAAATTTTAGTCTAGTCTATAGTCTAGTCTATAGTCTAGTCTATAGTCTAGTCTATAGTCTAGTCTATAGTCTAGTCTATAGTCTAGTCTATAGTCTAGTCTAGTCTATAGTCTAGTCTATAGTCTAGTCTATAGTCTAGTCTATAGTCTAGTCTATAGTCTAGTCTATAGTCTAGTCTATAGTCTAGTCTATAGTCTAGTCTATAGTCTAGTCTAGTCTAGTCTATAGTCTAGTCTATAGTCTAGTCTATAGTCTAGTCTAGTCTAGTCTATAGTCTAGTCTATAGTCTAGTCTATAGTCTAGTCTATAGTCTAGTCTATAGTCTAGTCTATAGTCTAGTCTATAGTCTAGTCTATAGTCTAGTCTATAGTCTAGTCTATAGTCTAGTCTATAGTCTAGTCTATAGTCTAGTCTATAGTCTAGTCTATAGTCTAGTCTATAGTCTAGTCTATAGTCTAGTCTATAGTCTAGTCTATAGTCTAGTCTATAGTCTAGTCTATAGTCTAGTCTATAGTCTAGTCTATAGTCTAGTCTATAGTCTAGTCTATAGTCTAGTCTATAGTCTAGTCTATAGTCTAGTCTATAGTCTAGTCTATAGTCTAGTCTATAGTCTAGTCTATAGTCTAGTCTATAGTCTAGTCTATAGTCTAGTCTATAGTCTAGTCTATAGTCTAGTCTATAGTCTAGTTTATAGTCTAGTCTATAGTCTAGTCTATAGTCTAGTCTATAGTCTAGTCTATAGTCTAGTCTATACTATAGTCTAGTCTATAGTCTAGTCTATAGTCTAGTCTATAGTCTAGTCTATAGTCTAGTCTATAGTCTAGTCTATAGTCTAGTCTATAGTCTAGTCTATAGTCTAGTCTATAGTCTAGTCTATAGTCTAGTCTATAGTCTAGTCTATAGTCTAGTCTATAGTCTAGTCTATAGTCTAGTCTATAGTCTAGTCTATAGTCTAGTCTATAGTCTAGTCTATAGTCTAGTCTATAGTCTAGTCTATAGTCTAGTCTATAGTCTAGTCTATAGTCTAGTCTATAGTCTAGTCCATAGTCTAGTCCATAGTCTAGTCTATAGTCTATAGTCTAGTCTATAGTATAGTCTATAGTCTAGTCTATGTACTAGAATATAGTCTAGTCTATAGTCTAGAGTATGGTCTAATGTATAATCCAGTGTACAGTCTATTCTATAGTTTAGTCAATAGTCTAGTCTATATTCAAGGCTATAGTCTAGTCTTTATTGTATTGGGAGTAGAGCATTCTAGTATTCGTATTGGGAGTAGGCCAGAGTGTATTCGATTTAGCTGCTTTGGCGTCTTTTACAACTTTATTTGTGCAACAAATATGTATATGAAATTTAAACTACATTTAAAGAAGAGTTTCTACAAAAATCGAAAAATCCTTTAAAAACAACAACAAAGTATTTGTACAGTATCGTATGGTAATAGTGTCAAAATCATCAAGATGTACAACTGCAGCAAAATGTAAACAAAAAAAATTTCAAAAACCCCACAACAGCTGGTAATGATATGTTGTATACAACAACAGTAATAAAATGGATACACATACTTAGATATGCACAACTGCAATATTTAGTACAGCAACAGTTTAGTTACAAAAATATAAGGATAACAAACCGAAATTTTCTTAATGAAACTTTTCTACAATATGTTTTTGTTTATTATTATCTAAGTTTTGCAATTTCTTAGAAACAATTGATAATTTCTCTAAATTCCTAAAAGTGTGCTTCTATTTATCTCCCACTGTATACATTCTCTACTTGAATAGAGTAACAATATACATATACATAAATTTCCTTATATATGTTTATCAATGTTCTTTCAAGAAAATCAACAATTTTGTTTTATACATATAAAATGTTTATAAAGATGTTAGAGTACTTGTACTTCTCTATACACAACTTATACAACTGTACATGCAACTGTATGTATAAATTTATACATATACATGTTTACATAAAAACATAGTATGTATGCATGTGTGTTACTAACAAACTTTCAAAACATCCTTAAACAAATATTAGTTTCCTACTGAATACTTTTACTCTGTTACTCTAGAAATTCACATAGATGGGACACTACACTAACACAACCTTGTCTATGATGGGGGTTTGTTAAAGTGTAAGACACTTGTCCTTTCTATATGTATTGCAAATTTGTTATATTAGTATACATGGTATATTGTTTACAACAATACATGTGCTAATAGTTGATTATTTAAATACGATGTTTGTTATACACATGTATGGCTATCTGTCTGTCGTTCAGTTTTTATCTATTTGCCGTATCTGTGTGTTTGTGTTTTTCTAAATTAAAAAGGGGGTTTCCTAGTAGTGGTCAGTTTTTTATGATTCGAGTAGAGGGTTTAAATTTGATTTTCTACATTGATTTAACTTTGAAACTATAAAATTGCTGTTTAATTTGAACATGTAATAAATCACATATTGGGTGATTTGTTAAAATAACAAAAGGGGTGTGAATGAAAGAAATTAGGAATTTAAAAAGGTCAATTAAGTTGATTTCTTTTTATTAATGTGGTTGCAAACACATTAAAGAGTTTCTTTAAAACAAATTAAACAAATAAATAAAGTGGATAAAATAAACTTTAGACTAGACTATAGTCCATACTATAGACTAGACTAAAGTCCAGACTATAGACTAGATTATAGTCTAGACTATAGACTATATTATAGTCTAAATTATAGACCAGACTATAGACCAGACTGTAGACCAGACTGTAGACCAGACTATAGACCAGACTATAGACCAGACTATAGACCAGACTATAGATCAGACTATAGACCAGACTATAGACCAGACTATAGACCAGACTATAGACCAGACAATACACCAGACTGTAGACCAGACTATAGACAAGACTGTAGACCAGGCTATAGGCCGGACTATAGACCAGACTATAGACCAGACTGTAGACTAGACTATAGACTAGAATAAAGTCAAGACTAGACTAAACTAAAGACAAGACTAACTAAACTAGACTATAGTCCATACTATAGACTAGACCAATGTCCAGTCTGTAGACTAGATTATAGTCTAGAATATAGATTATATTATAGACCAGACTATAGACTAGATTGTAGACTAGACTATAGTGCAGACAACATTATTGTCCAGATTATAGACTAGACTATAGTGCAGACAAGACTATTGTCCAGACTATAGAATACATTATAGTCCAGACTAGACTTATATCCAGACTATAGACTAGATTATAGACAAGACTATAGACTAGATTATAGACCAGACTATAGACTAAATTGCAAACTAGACTAAAGACTAGATTATAGCCCAGATTATATAGATTATAGTCATATAGACTATAGACTAGACTCTAGCTCAGTCTATAGACTAGACTATAGTCCAGGCTATAGACAAGATCACAGTCCAGGTTATAGACTAGACTGTGTTAGAAACTATAGTCTAGGCTATATATTAGTATATAGTCCAAACTATGGACATGACTATAGACTAGACTATAGTCCAGAATATACTAGATTATAGTCCAGATTATACTAGAATATAGTCCCGACTATACTAGACTATAGTGCACAATACAGACTAGACTATAATTCAGATTATAGACCCAGCTATAGGTCAAACTATAGTCCGGACTATAGACTAGACTATAGTCCAGACTATACACTAGGCTATAGTTCAGACTATAGACTAGACTATCGTCCAGACTATGGACTATACTATAGTCCAGACTATAGACTATTCTACGGTTCAGATTGTAGACAATTGTCCAGAGTAGTCTCTAGTCCAAACTTACAATGTACATTAAAGACTATACTATAATCTGAAATATAGTCCTCACTACAGTGAAGATTCGACTGTCGCTTTTCAATTTTATCAACTTGTTTTAGTTAGCTCGTGTAAACAACTGCCCCAAGGCTGTTTTGTACATAAAAGACAACTTTGCTCAATTTAAATATTAAACTCCTGTTTGTTATAGTTCATCTTAGGTATACAATACAAAATTTCAGTTTATTTATTGAAAAATATATTTTGGAAAGTCTTTTCACTCAAAACTCTTTTAGTTACTTGTTTACCAACTTGTTACTTTGTCAGCTTTGAAAACATTTGTTTTTCAATAACAAAAAGGTTTAAAACGCAAAATTTTAATTAATATTTTAGAAAACGCCCTTAGGTTTTATTATAGGGTTTATTTAACTAAAATTCCTAGCACGTTTGAAGGCTGTTTGGCCTTATTTAATTAAATTAAATTAATTTAGTTTATTTTTTTTTCTAACCAAAGTCCTTTAATAAATAATTTCATTTAATAAAAATTGTTAAGGTTTAGTTTGAAAGAGGGAGGAGTGGGCTGCAATTGATTTAAACATTTTGACCTTTAGGCTAAACATTTAAGTAAGTGTTTTATGACCTAGAAACAGCCACTTGAGGTTTTGTTTTTTTTTTTTTTTTTTGAATAAAACAAAAATTATTACACAACAACTACTTACCTAATAAAGTATAGGCCAGCAGTAGAGCACATATACCCAGATTGGTTAATACAGCCGACCAGAATGTTTGGGCATTATGACGACTATGACGTCGACCCTTCGTTTGTCCATAGCCCTGGGATTTCGTTGGTATCGATGATGATGATTTGTTTGTGTTGCGCCCTCTAGTGTGGTTGTTTGTGCTCGAACTGCCACCGCCACCAAAACAAGAACAACATTTTGGAGAGGCGGGTCGATTATGTAAATTACTTCTACTGCTTGTTTTGCTGGAATTGGCAGTTGTACTGTGGAGATTTAAAGGCACTGTACTGCTGCTATTAGATGTTGTATTGTTGATGTTAATGTTATTGCAATTATTTGCGACCACCGAGGCAATAGTACCAGCAGCTATATTGCTGGTGGTAGTAGCGTTTAGATTGGCGGGTGTTTGTTGTTGTTGTAATTTGGCCGAACTTTTTAGGGTACCACATGTGGAGGAACCATCCCCCATTGTAGAATTGGAGCCTAAGGATAAATTGTTAGAAGGTGGTGGCGGAGGTGTTACCACAGACATGTTGTGCTGCTGTGATACCAAAGCCGGCAAGTTTAGAACGGAGGGTGGTGTGGTTTGAGGCGGTGAGGACATAGAGGACATTTGATTTAAATTTGGTGGTCCTGGTCCCATACCCAAAGCAGGTGGTGGTGGCATATTTAAACTTGTGGTGGCTGTTGTGGTGTATTTCAAAATACCTGGTGGCATGTTGCTATTTGAAGAACTATTGCACAAACCCACTTCTATGTCCTCCAGTGTGGGCATGGGTAGAAGGGGGGTTTTAAAAGTGGACGTTGAAGAGCCCGTTGATGATATGTTTTGTCCTGCCCCCACCGCCATGGCCATAGATGTGGGTGTAGGCGCTGCTTGTGAAGGAGGCGGCATCATGCCTATGGTTACATATGAAGTGGGTACATTGACATATTCCCCGCTGGAGTTTAAAGATGAAGCCATCGTTGTGGTTATACATGTTGAAGAAGGTGGTGGCGGTACTATAGAATACTGCTGTTGCTGCTGTTGTTGTTGTTGCTCCATATTCATGTTGCCAATTTAGGGTTGTTAGTAATTGTTGTCATTTGTGTGAGTGTGTGTTAGTGTTGCTAACTTTTTACTATTTAGTTTTTGTTGTTTTCGGAAATTTGTCCTTCTATTTCACAATTGAGTGGCTTTTCATTTTTTTCTATTTTTGCTGTATGCTCACACTCATATTGACATGATTAAAATTTCTGATTGTTGTAGTTTCTCTCACATTTTTTTTGTTGTCTGTGGTCAAATAATGTCATATTCTTTTTTTTATTACTTTTTATATCTTTTGTATGTGTGTGTGCGCTGGCAATTAAGGATTAAAAAGGAAATTCTATTGTTAGTGTTGAATGTACGGGAAACTGTAATAAGATGGAAAAGAAAGAACAGAAATAAAAATTGAGATATTAGTTTTTATTATGGCTTGTGGTGGGTAAAATGTTAAATAAAATATAAGATAAAGTAAAGTATTTTCTCTGCACGAATATTTTCACTTAAACAGAACAGAAATTTTGTGCAAAAATATTCTTTAAAACAGATATAGATTCCAGTCTCTAACAGTCACATTTGAAAATCAGCTTCAGCTTTATTGAAAAAGGACCTTAATTAGAGATCTTCTATATTTTGCCTTAATGATCTATTTTTTAAGTCGAAAACTTAAAATCCACAGTAACTTTGCTAAAAGTTTGTTTTAAGCAAAATTTTTCAATTATTTACATTATTGACATTGTGTAAACAATTGTAAAAATTTATTTTTTCTATGAAATTTGTAAAATTTTTAAACAAAATAAGATTGTATTGCTATTTCATTAATTTTACCTATAATTTACATTGTTGACATTATGTAAACAATGGTAAAAATATAATTTTTCATAAAAACCTTAAAATTATGCGGTAAAATAAAGTTATTATACGTTTTAGCAATTGTTTACATTCTTGACATTAGGCAAACAATCGAAAAAATCTAATATTTACATGAAAACATAAAATTTTAAAACTAAAATTAAGTTTTAAACATATTTCTTACATTGTTGACATTATGTAAACAATTGTATAAATGTAATTTTTACATAAAAACATTAGAATTATAGAATAAAATTAAGTTACTATAAGTTTTAACAATTGTTTACATTGTTGACATTATGTAAACAATCGAAAAAAATAGTTTTTAAATGTTTTTCTTAGTTGTTTACATTGTTGACATTATGTAAACAATTGTAGAAATGTAATTTTTACATAAAAATATTAGAATTATAGAATAAAATTACTTTATTGTAAGTTTTAACAATTGTTTACATTGTTGACGTTAGGTAAACAATCAAAAAAATCTAATATTTTTATGAAAACATAAAATTTTAAAACTAAAATTAAGTTTTTAAACGTTTTTCTTAATTATTTACATTGTTGACTTTATGTTGACTTATGTAAAATCTTAAGTTGTTTAACAAAATCTTGGAAAATTGTATAAAATATTGAGAGTAAAGCAGTTTTTTTCAATTGTTTACATTGTTGACATTATGTAAATAATTGAAAATTTGATTTTTTAGCAAGAAAACAATAAAATTTTAAGATTAGAGTTAGGTTTTTATGCATTTTACCAATTATTTACATTGTTGACATTATGTAAACAATTGTAAAAATATAACATTTACAGGAAAATCTGGGATTTTAAGACTAAAATTAAGTTTTTTAACATTCTACTTATTGTATAATTATGTAAAATTCCAAAAAAATTAGAAAATATTTCATTTACTAAATTTTCTCTTAAAAATTTAATATTTTCCTACAAATTTCTTTTTAATTAAATGAAAAAGTTGTTAATTAATCTATCCCTATTCTACTCTCCCATATGAAACATCAAGTAATTTAATATTTACTTTCCTTGTAACTAAAATTCAGTTAGAATCTTTTAGCCAATTTGTTTAAGCAAGAAAACCCCAGCAGTTTTCTTGCGCCCTTAAGTATGTTGCAAAGAAAATGTTTTGTAGACATTTTGTATACATATTTTATAATTTTCAAAAGTAAAAAACAAAAATGTACTTACAACGTAGTATAAATGTAATTCAAGTACAACAGCATGAAAATTTACAAAAAAAAGAACATAATATGTGTTCTAGTTTTGTAGCAAAATATGCTCTTTTTTTTCTTAAGTTCAACTATTAATTTTAGTTGCTGTTTAGAAAAACTTTTACTTTTTTTTACGCCAAGGTATCACTCTAGGGCCATAAAGTGAAGGTAGTTAGGAAAAAAACGAACTACAAAATAACAACGTTAAAATAACAGTCATTTTTAGTTTTTCAGCGAGTTTAGTTTTTTTTCACTCTCAGTTGTTTGTTGTTGTCGTTGGTATGTTGCTATGATCTAGAGTACACAGTGCACTTGAAACATCATCACCAACATTATTATATAATAAAAAGTGAAAATATTAAAAAAAAAAATACAAAAATACCTAGAATGAATTGTGTTGCTGCTAACTAATCCAGTTGTTGAACAATTTCTATAGTGAAGAGAAATAAAAATTTATATATAAAAATACGAGGGTAAAAAAACCGTTAGATTTTTTGCTGCTTTTTATATAGAAATGTATATAGTTTTGTATTTAAAACTGACATGATTATGCAGGAAATTTAAGAAATTTTTTCATTTAATTACCAAAGAGAGATAATGGTGTAAGTTTAGAAGAAAAAAAATTAAGAATTTAATATGAAAATTTAAACAAATTTAATAAAAAAACTGATGTAAACTAAAGAAAAAGTGTTAATTTTATAATAAAATTCTCTCAAAAAAGTATAAAACATAGTTTTCTTAATTGTTTACATTGTTGACATTATGTCAACAATTACAAAATTGTAATCTTTATTAAAAATTTGTTGAAAAATAAACCAAAATTGAGTTTTTGCCACTCTGTGCCATTATTTACATTGTTGACATAGTGTAAACAATTGCAACATTTTAAATTTTCTAACAAAATCTTGTTAAATTATAAAAAAAATTAAAATTATTAAGTTTTCTTAATTGTTTACATTGTTGACATTATGTAAACAATTATAAAAATGTTAATTTTACACAAAAACTTTAAAATAATACAACAAAGTTTACATTTTAAACATTTTAGCAATTTTTTACATTGTTGACATTATGTACACATTGGCAAAAAACTATATTTTAGTTAAAATATATAAAATATTGCAGCAAAATTAAGATTTTACACTTTTAGCCCATTATTTACATTGTTGACATTATGTAAACTATTACAAAAATTTTAATTTTACATGAAAACTTTAATATTTTTGATCAACAAAACTGTTTTTAAACATTTTAACAATTGTTTACATTGTTGACATTATGTAAACTATTCAAAAAATACAAAATTTTACATGAAAACTTTAAAATTTTAGACTAAAATTTATTTTCTAAATTTTTTAGTAATTATTTACATTGTTGACATTATGTAAATAATATAAAAAATAAATTTATGCTTTGTATACATTGTTGACATCATGTCGAAATAAGCAAAACTTAAGTTTTGTTAAAATTTTTTGAAAAATTCCCCAAAAAGAAAGTTTTTTCTACTTTCTTTTAGATAACCCCTTAAAATATGCTTTAAAATTAGCAAAACAATATTTTCTATGTAATTTTTAAAGTCATATTTCTGCCATTAGCGAATCTCTGTCGAATTTATCAGCACTTGTACACATTCCTTTAGTCTACAACACACACACCCACACCTTCCACTCCATAGTTTACGTGTTTTCATTTTCCTCCTAAAAGTAGGCTACATAACCACAATATATCACTTCCTGTTCACATAATCATCGACATACAAGGATTTTTGTTAAATCATCATCAGTATCATAAATTTTGTAGTTGCAATAGTTTTTGTTGTTGTTGTTGTTTGAGTTAAGCAGAAAATCGTAATTTCTGAGTACAGCTCAAAGTGCTATTGAAGTTGTTAGTTGTACTTGTTGTTGTTGCTGCTGTTCTGGTTGTGGTTGCATTTGTAGTTGTTTTTGATGTTTTCTACACAAAACGAAACCAACAAAAAACCATAAAACTTGTTGTCTATATTTAACAACAACAAAACTACAATCAAAACTAACACTAACAGAAACACACTCACAGTTAAGCATTTACATACTAACACACAACCATTTACTTCAACTGAATCCCTTTCACACACACACAAACCTTAAACTAACTGTTTTAAAAGGGCTTTATACTGCCATTTTCCCAATCTTTACCCTTCTCCTCTACGATTTTTCAATTATTCATAGCAGTTGTTGTTATTGCTCAGTTCTATCCAAACTCACTATCAAATGAACATTAAACAAGTATTAGTATTATCATAGTTTGTGTGTGCGTGTGCATTAAACTCAATACTGTAATGTGTGCAATATTTTGTTTTTGGCTCAATGAACGTGTGAGTGTGTTTGTTGTGAGCAGATACAGATGAATTGTAAAAGTGAGTTACTTCCTACTTATCCGGCATAAATAGAGATTTTTTCATTAGCTAAAAACATTTTTCATAGCATAGTTTTAGGCTGTTTTCAGCACGAACATGAAAAAATCTATTCTATTCTTTCTTTTTTTTTTTGGACAGAGATAGAAAAATGTTTGTTCTTGAACTGTTGATGCCTATGGAGATGCTAAAGTTTCAAGTGAAAGTTCTTTTTTTTCCCTTTTGTTGGGGAAAAATATTTCTATCACTTTATTTTCGGGGTAAATTATGACTGAAACATTTCTTGCTTATAAATCTTAGACGAACAATTTGTAGTTTGTAAACTTGAAAAGAAGAAAAAACCGGTTTAGAATTATGACCATTAAATGAAAATGAAAATGTTGAGAAATTGTTTAGAATTGCTTTAAAATAATTGAAAAATAGTCAAGAATACATAAAAGTTTATATAGAGAAAGTTAGTCTAGTCTAGACAACTGTTCTATGGAGAAAGTTAATCTAGTCTAGACAAAAGTTGGTCAAGTCTAGACAACTTTTCTATAGAAAAAGTTAGTCTAGTCTAGATAACTTTTCTATAGAAAAAGTTAGTCTAGACAACTTTTTTATAGAAACAGTTAGTTTAGTCTAGACAACTTTTCTATAAAAAAAGTTGGTCTAGTCTAGACAACTTTTCTTTAGAAAAAGTTGGTTTAGTCTAGACAACTTTTCTATAGAAAAAGTTGGTCTAGTCTAGACAAACTTTTCTATAGAAAAAGTTGGTTTAGTCTAGACAACTTTTCTATAGAAAAAGTTGGTTTAGTCTAGACAACTTTTCTATAGAAAAAGTTAGTCTAGTCTAGACAACTTTTCTATAGAAAAAGTTAGTCTAGTCTAGACAACTTTTCTATAGAAAAAGTTAGTCTAGTC